AGCGGGAGGGAAGATGGGAAGGGGTGAAGAGGGCAAATCTTTCGAGATACCCCGTTGCCGTGATTGACTCGTCAGCAAAAGCCACGCAGACCAGGCAGGCAACAGACACGCAAACTTATGCTGTCGAAACGGAAAATTTACCTCGCAATTTGTGCCACTGGATGCTGGAAGCGGTGCTCAATTTATCGGCTTTGAGCAGCTAATTATGAAACAAGCATCCGGACTCTTTCGTGTTCATCTTTCTCTTAAATCATTTCGTTTAGTGATATTTCTTTTTCTAATATTTCGAAAGAAGCTAACCTCTGTGTTTAGTTAAAATATTGCTTTGAATCGACACGATTATATTATACATAATAAAAAGCAATTAATACTGTAGTCAAACGTGAAAATGTTTTTTTTTTGTATTTTACAGGAAAAATGTCGTATTAGATTCGCGAAGTTAGCACGCCATATTTTTTATCTTTTGATATAAAAAATGCGAAACTTTTTATTTTATATGGGATTATAAAAAATGAAACTGTCATTATTTTTTTTTATATTAAGAGAACGGCATGCTAACTTCACAAATTTATGTGGATCTGTAAAGTTAGCACGGAGTACAAGAATACGTATTTGTATAGTTTTTAATAAATATATTTTCGATAATATTCATTTATATAAAGAAGAAATTTTTTTAAGAGATGCAAAACAACATAAAAATTGTAACAATAACAACAATTATTTTCTTTGCAGATGCACTCATGAGAACGGATTATCAATTATTTTATCCGGGTGCTTTAGGACCGTTACATATTTCTACGAACACGAGCAATACCGGCACGTCGTCGTGGAATCAAAGCTTTTATTCGTCTCTCTATCAAGCGACCACCTTACACTTGCAGCATGGAATGCAATCTTTCGCGTAAGTCCATCTCGATAGAATTTGTCGATACAAAATATATACAATTTATTTTATAGGTATGATTCTATAATTAGTTTATAATTTTATTTTTACAGACCTTTAGATACCGAACGTCTGTCGGAGCAAAACGGCGCACAGAATCAGCTGGAGTTAAAATCGAGCTCGAGTTCGACGGCCGGCAGCGACGATTCGCTGGATAAAAGCGATTTGGATGAGAATCTAGTCGAGTCGCAAGATCACTACAAGTCTTTTCGGAGCACACCGATTATCCTGGAACTCAGCCAGAAGATCGGCAGCGATCGGAGCGCATTCGTCAGGCACGGCACACCTAATTCACACGCCACGAATTCGGATAATCTGCGAGAGAGCCCAATGTCGATCGTCGAGACGTTGAAACGAGATTCCTCGGCATCGCATAGAATTCATGAGGCGAAGAATACGAATCCAAGCACGATGACGACGAACGAGGGAGCGGCGGTAGAGAATCAACCGCCGCAACCGCAAAAGAAGAAGAATCCCTACTCGATAGAGGAGTTGCTCAAGAAGGATGAGAGCAAATCTGCGTCCAGAAGGCCGAGATTACCCAACATCGGTGTGGTCCAACCGTGCGGCATCATTGTAAGCAAGGAAATCTAAAAAATCTTCGATAAATCAATCTTGTCCGAGGAGATGGAACGCTGTTGTCGGAGCAAATCGCTTTGCGTTATGTGAAGTATGGATTATATCTAAATTCACTAGTTGAATTTCTTGCTCGGACAGACATTATACAGTGTGAACGTACATCATTGGCCATAGGTATGTGTGTAGTATTATAATATTATTAACAGGTGTAAAGAAAAATCGTAAGATATAAAATTCGAATGAAAATTGAACAAGGGGATCGAAGTAGCAGAAGTTGGTACCATTATTGTGACACGTGTACTTGAAAGTAATTTCTTTGCACCTGATGAATAGCCCTTGCGGATACAGTGAGAAGTAGCGAATGTCTTAGATGTCTAACGTCTAACTTAGAATACCGACTAAGGAGTTTGATAGAAGAATACCGACTAAGAAGTTTGATAGAAAATGATTTTAGAAGCAAATGATTTTTAAAGCTTCTTATGCCTCCTTTGAGAGAGATAGAGAGACAAAGAATATGGTTGTTCAATGAAATAAAATGAAAAGCTAGCGCCATATGTAATATTAGAATCAAAAAACTGTAGCGTCGATTATAACTTAGTGAATTATATGTAATCCTTGTGTAAGTTAACTTATAATTAAATTATTTTCATTCCTCCTGTTCCGCGTCGCTAATCTTGATCGCCATTTCTCGTTGGCGATCGACACACGGCTGTTAATTGCTTCGAGAACCTAAGATTTCGCTTAACTCTGCAATTGCGTGCGGCTAGTTAAGATCGGCGAAAAAAAAAAAGAAAAGTGCTTGGAAATTCGCAGGAGAAGTTTCCAATACTTTCACTGATTTATCTTGAATAGTTGATCGCGAATCACTGGTAGTGAAATATTAACGTTGCCAGTATTTCCGGACGATAATTACTATGCCAATGTTGATGCAAGAAATTCAGCACTTCCAAGCTATGTCACGCAATAAAATTCGTACATTCCACCTTTGAGAGTCAAGACTCGTAATAACCATCAACACAAAGGAAAACGCGCGATATAAAAGTTTCAAACAGCAGAAATGTTTTTTTAATCTAACTTAGCTCGAGCTGAATCTTGAAACGCGTCTTCGGCAACCCGCTCGACGATATCGCTCGGAAAAAAACATCGAGCAGGCAATTATGCGTTCGTGTCTCCATTGTAGTTCGCACTTTAGAGCCCGGCGCGAAATAGCCGCGCAATGCCGTTATACATGGCGCGGAGATCAGGCAATTAAATGATAGCCTAATAAACGAACGGCTGTAAAGTACGCGGATGAAAACGTAAGAAGCCGCAGTGGCGGCGCAGTAAAGCCATAAACGATTCGGTTGAGGGTGTCATATGTGGACACGCCGTGTGTATACCTTGTAAAATACGACGATACATCGTTCGCGTAAAAAAAAAGGAATTAAATGGTGTTACCGAGCGGCCGGTAGGGCCTCCCCCAATTCCTTCTCCCTCTTCTCTACCCCTTTGCATTTACAATGTTGTAAAACCTTTGTATCTCGTTCCTCATCGCGAACTAATTAATGCACTATAAAACTCTAGTACTTTATTGCCGAACGATTTGCTCGTTTTGTTCCCTCACGCCTGCCGATTGCATGCTCGCGGGCTATTTCGGGATGACATCTCGATCTTACAAGAAGCGCGGAAGAAATCTCGATTCTCGCGCTTCCTTTTATTTATGGTTCTTTCTTTGAAAAGATTCCGCCGCAAATCATCCCGAAAAACAATACGTGAAGGGAAACGCAGGGAACATCTCTGTACTTACACTGGCTGTCTTATAAGCGGAAGCTAATACGCTAACGCTCAAACTTCCCTTTTATTTGCCATACACGGAGATTATTAGATCTTAAGATGATAAGTGTGGAACACGTCCTGAAAGGAAAAGGTCCGTTACTCGTGTAGGCATTTGCCTGAAATATTTATTTTAGATTTAGACGCTGTGAAATTTTATGAGCATTCCGTGCGTCAAACTATTTGTAATCCAGAAAAAGAGAAGATTTAAATTTGTGTATCTCTATGGAATGTCAATGATGATTTTTAGATATCTGTTTGCCGCGAGATTTCGATTTCGCTGCACAGAATGCTCATACAGAAATCTGATAATTAGAATAATAGTTCTGTACAATAATAATTGCGCCTGAACAGTCTCGTTGGTCTGCAAACTTCAGAAAATGATCTCTTTAGAATTAGAAAAGAAAAAAATTAAGAAATTAAATCACGATTTGAATCAAATGACAAAAACGATATTTAGTTTAAATCGCGATTTAATTAATGACGTTAAAATAAAAAATGTTGAAAATAATTTACGGATTCATTAGCTCCAAGTTTTTCCGTCGCTGACCTACGGAGACTATTGCGTAAAATTATCCAAGTTATCAATTAAATAATACTCGTAATATAAACTTATTCTGTATGATATCATTAAATACACTAGTCAAAATGATATATACCATGTTTATCTTGTACATTTTTATGTCATGTTTCATGCATATACTAAAATGATTACAAGAAAATTACAGCGATATAAGAATAATCGCATACCAATACGCATCTTAGCCGATGCAGTTATCATCGACAACTTTTGTGTCTGACAGCTTATGAATAATTATTAAATTTTTTTGGATATTATTGCACACTGAAGAAAAGAATCTATTTACATGCGAATTATAAATACTTTTTTATACATCATTCCATCGAAAGTTGCGGAAATGCATTTAATGTTCCATTTAACTAAATAATAAACATTTCACACATAGAATATTTCACAATAGAATAATAACTTATTGATAAAAAATTTAATTCATAATTATTATCAATATTACATCGTAAAGGCACATCATAAGTACTTAGGGAGTACTTAAATAATTAGATAATGTGAATAATATATAAATTTCTTCGACAATACGGCATGAATTATAACATCTATAAAATTTTCTTTTGAATTATCATTTAACATACATTACATAACATGATGTTTAGAGAACTTAATATATAGTATTAAAATAAATTGCTTGATTATAATCTTTCTAATTACATATATTAATATATAAATACAAATATGAGATTCTTAAGATAGAACTAAGAGAATATTTAAATAAAATATTCCATTTATCTTAATGAAAGGAATTATTTCACAAATTAATTAAACAATATTTAATTTTACGTTTAATAGCTTTTCTGTAATCTTTATTACCTTTCTAGTACTTACTCGTACTAATTGTATTTGTAAAAAGTCAATATTCTAAGGAAGACAGCTTTTTGCGGCACATATTGATAAGATAGACTATACATCACATGGATGTTCACGGCACAACAAATAATAATATTCAGTCATTAAATGAAGCTGTCAGTCGTATCTGTTTTATATATATATATATATATATATATATATAGAGCTTTATCATTATGAACAAAAATTCTATTCTTAGAAACTTAATAGTGAAAGCAATTGGCCTAAGCAATTGCGTCCAAATCGCACACATTTCATCTTATGTACAATATAGCTTTTCCTCTAATTTCGTCAGCTATATACAGATCCATTTAAATCTTTGTATTCGCAGCGATCAGTCATTTTAGAGCTGAAAGTTGTGCTGCGAATGATTGAGAGTATTCGTAGACATGGTGTGCGCTGGATGCGACGGCGCTGGTGTGTAAAGACTGTGATGCGAGTGCGATTTTGCTCTAGAGAGTTCGCTATAACGGTCCTGTTCAGGTGGAGCCACTAGGAGAACAGGTCTCAAAGACAGGGACTTACGAGAGCCAGCTACGCTTTGAGCTTCGTTCACATAGCCCGGATTTACTTCACCTAAAAATAGAAAATTGACATACACTATTTCATGTTAAGGACATAAAACGAACACGTATTCACAAATCGCAAAGATTTTAATAAAAATTGAAATCTTTGAGACATAAGCATTTTTTAAAAAAATTGCTATTAATCACCTTTGTACAAGGATCCGTTATTGAAAGGTTCTGATTGTAGCCTCACATGTCTGGAGGCCAAAATGAAGGCAAGAGCAGACAAAGTAGCTGCATCCAGAGCCGCGATTGCAGCGAGTGGTATTGCCCATCTAACAGCACAGGCACCAGGATTGTATCTATCAAAAGAATAACTTTCTGAATGCTATTTTTCTCATTGTTATTGTGATTATGTTTCCAACTTTTAAGGCAATGCTGCTATTATTCATCGCTTCGTAATAATTTGCGTGCGAAAGGCGCGTCTAATTGAGATAATTAGTGTTAGTAGATTGTAAAGTTTCTAATAAGATGAATACTTTTTTCACTAATTTTTTAATGTAGAATAGACTCTTTTTTTAAAGAAAATTTCTTTTTTGAACTATAAATTAACAAAAAAGCACAAAAAGGTTTTTCGTGAATTCGCAAATGCAACTCTAGATAAGATAGCAACAAAGTTCTACTTATTTGGATGCAGTCGAAGTCTCACTACAAATGTTTTAAAGCATTCGAATAATTAATTAGAAAAAAGAATTTTACTAATTGACCAATCAAAGAATGCTTCAAAGTATTTGAGTTGCATCACATTGTGATTATATTCTTTATTGATTGTATAGACCCCTTATAGATATGGATTGGCAATTGTTACAATTTCTGCATAAGAAACACAGTGTTCAGTGGAGAGAGAAACATACCTTTTAGGTACTTCTCTTTTTCAAAGTCCGAAAATATACATTGCGCATGTCAATTAAATATATAGCATGTTAACGTTATATATCAAAGTTAAAAATGCTATATTATTTACATAAAAGATTGTAGAAACCTTAACGAAATATTATATTCAACATATAATATACGTCAAACATGCATGAAACGTATTCCTGGAAAGAGAAATATAAACATAATCTTATTTATATTGCCAATTCATAATGTATAAGATTTGAGGTTGATTCTATCCTTTCTTGAGAAGCCAAAATCGCAAGAGAAATCATTCAAAAACATTTTTCATTTAGTTTCTTGTTATCTTTTTTGTATACATATGCCCTTTGTACAAATACACACCTGGAAGCAGCTGCGCCACATACGGCGCGAATCACCGGTGAGTCCCAGCCGAGAGGATAGATGCACACTCCGATCGCCATGCAGATTGCTGGAAAAAGACACCCGAAATATAATTATAATTACATCCATTTACATTTTCCAACTGTACTGAAAGCCGCTAGATAGATTATTAATGTTACTCGCGTTGCAATTCGTGCATTAACTTTTTCACTTTCTCGAGATAATTATACAGCGCAAAAGCGTGAAAAAAGTTTTACGATAAAAAACTACGTTAAGAAATCAATGTTAAGACTTATTACGGCGGCAAATCTAATACGCTTTAATAACATAGACTCACTTATGGTTCAATTATTTTCATTCTTATGGTTCTATTATCGTAGTTATATGCAATAGAGGCGTACTCTTGCATTTACACGGACGTAATTGTGCAGGTGACTATGCGGAGGCCGGTAGTGAAAGGGACTTGTGAACAACCGTAACTTTTCTGGGACTCGCTACGTTTACCAGCGAGCCGAGACGATATTGTTTCCCGGCGAACGAGCGATTTTAATGCGCGAATCATGCACAGTAGACGCGCGTTATGATTGTCTTCACAGAGCTCGGTTTCAATAATTTTCTTCGATTTCATTGCACTTTGTATTTCTGTATTTCTGTACTTTCCATTTATTATCTATCTCGATAATGAATGAAAACCAGTATTTTTCACTCTTACCTTTCATTATCCGCATTTTTTAAACTTCTTCTTTTAGTAGTCTTTCATTTGATAATTTGAATCTATTTATTCTTGCTAATTCTATTTAGCTTTTTAGTCTGTTACACAATATCCTGTGCGTGTTACTTGCTCTTTACACTTTCTAACGATTTTGTAATGCATATCGCAATCTTCCTGTATACTCCAGCTTTTTTTAGAACCTATTTTAAGTTAACGATAAACGCTGCTACATTCTATGTATATAGATAATTTCTATAATCCATGTACTTGAATGTCATTTATATAGTTTCTCATGGTGATACATTTACCTCTTCATGTTTCATGCTATGTAATGAGCGCGACTTGGCGTATAACTTTCACTGTCGTGACTCGACGGTGCTTACTTGCAACGAATCGCTGACACTGCCGAAACTTTGCTGCCAGGCTTGTGTAAGTTACGTTCGTTCGTCAGACGTTCGTTAAATGAAAATTATACACTCGTCAACTTGTTAGTCAACATCCAGCGCATACAATTAGCCGTACAATTTTCATGAAATTGCGTTATTATGCGTTACCAAGAATTTATTCGTGTAAAAAGTGAATGAAGAATTTATTTCATTTATAATCAATGAATAAAACGCGGTTTGACAACTTTAATCGACTAAACAAATTGAACGCATGTTTTAGAGATATTACTTATAAATCATGAATATATATCTTATTATGTTTTCGTTAAAGAAATAGACCACCTAGCAAAACTAATTAATTTCGATACAAATTAGCGATCGGAATTAGAATGTAATCTTGTGCAGAGAAATTCTATTATAGTTATATATATAGTATTATATATATATATATAGATAGATTAATATTCGGCAAGTCGATATCGACTCGACCGACGGTTGCAGTTGGTTTACGTTAATCATAGAGGCGTTGACGAACGGTATATGCAGACTGGCTTAGGCACGTTATAACGGTCTATTCCACATTTCGCTGAGCCACCACACGACTCGTCAGGGATCCACAGGCGACGATCAGCCACGATTACAATTGTAAAAGAATCTTCGAATGCTGTAAAATACACAGCGCACGCATTTCGAGATACACTGCGAAGCAGAAAAATACACCATGTGTTTCAATGACAAATGAAGTTATTCGTGACAATGAGCTTTAGAAATCGCGACTCGGAAATGCTAAATGTTATACATGCATCCGGATAATGCAAAAGCTATCTGGAGAAAGTATCAGTGTATTTAGCGTGAATGTGTTTTATTCGTTTCTAATTATATTAAACAGAACAATGCATTTTGATTTAAAGGAAGTCTGATTATAAATCTGGGAGCAAAATATCAGGCCTGTTCTTTTTAGCTGAAGTTCTTATGAATTACGGTTCATTTTTTTCTTCTTTCTTTAATGTAGAGAGAAAAGAGAGAAAGGTGAACTGTGCAAGAAATTCAACTAAAAAGAATAGATCTATTATATTGTGCAAGAAGTTCAGTTAGAGAAATGGATTTATTGTATAGTAACGTCTCTTATTTTTTATTATTCTGAGAAGAAATATTTCAGAATGCCCTTTTTTAATTTAAATATGTATTGAAGAGAGGAAATAATACGTGCATTGAAAAGAAAATAATATGCATAAAACTGCCTAGTAACTCTTCTAACGATTCAGCCAACGTGGACGTCTGTGATGACACGTCATTCATCAATGAAGCAGTTATTCTTGCAATACCATTATTATTATTTCAGCCGTTACGCAAGCAACGTTGGACAATCCTCTGCGGTTACTGTGCGCTTTCTAATCAAATAAAAAGATCGATGCGGTATTCACGAATAGCATGTTCGAGTAATGAGAAATTGCGAACAACTTTTAATTATTTGGCACACATATTTAACAAGTTTAGCGAAATCTCTCCTACGAGATTTTTGCGAAAGTTTTCTCGCAAGCGCGGGACCATGACATGAGAGCAATTTCCGACAGCGACCAGCGTCCTTTTAAAATCGTTATCTCCGCAATCAGAGATGAAACTGATCGATAAAGTTCATCACAATAAAGCGCGTTAAACAGGGTGATTACTTCACTTCCCGGCCCCGCGCAAATAGGATCCGGCTCAGCGCATTAGCGCAATTTGCAATTGCATCTCGCTGATAAGGAATTACGGTTGAGATTGCGAGTAACGGGCTGCGAGGATCAGCTTGGCTAATGTTGCGCTTTCTAAAGCAGACGCGTCAGTTGTGGAAAGTGTCTCGCGCGCACTTATCATTTGGCACTTAGGCAGATATTCATAATCGATTCTTACATTTAAAATAGTTGTCGTGAGCCAATTAGAAAGCTATATTAGCATCTCAAGATAGTCTTATTTAAAACGGTCTTAAAATAAGAACAGATTATAAATATCGGATTTAGATATTTTCCGTGAGGAGGGACTGGATAATTACCTGACACCACTTGCATCCAAGCGCACATGTAGAACACGGTAGTGCTTTGACAAAAGAAGAACATGAGCATTGCGCAGATTGCCAATAGCGCGATTATCACCGAGATGCCGACTAGAATCGTGCTGGCTCGGAAAGGAACGTTGGCGATGGTCGACAGGTCGTCCAGCCGGCCGATACATTCCTCGCCTAACTCACCTATGTAATTATGAAACCGTTTGAATTAATAATGTAGTCTAAATAATTATTCCTCAGTCTTGAAATGTGGACTTGTAGTTGTTATAAGGAAATATCGAGATTAGTAATTATATGTAATTATATATAAAATACATTTTAACGTTAAATTATAAACTAGAACTATTTATATTTGTCATAAAAATAAATTAGATTATTTGCTACAACAACGGTACGACTAAAAAAAACAAAGTTCCACAAAAATAAGTTTGAATATTTTGAATCATTAAGATTTGATAATATTAACTTTAAAATGTAATTTTAATGTTATATAACTAATTATAAAGGAAATAAAGATATGTTTTTTTTCTTTCTTTTTAATGTTTGCAAGCAACTAAAGATGTCAATTTTTTTTAGAAAACTTTGTTTTCTGAATTATATTCCTGTTGTAACAAATGAGCGAAATAATCTTTTTATTATCTTTAGTATGACAATAAAAATAAATTTTTGTTGCAAATAAGCGATTTGCATCAGCCAAACCAATTTTCTTCTTGCTCTCTAAAACTTTTACAGCGAATTTCACTCTAAAAAGTGAAATCTCACTCTTAAAGATTGAAAATTAAGCCACTCCTTTTCAAGATTGGTTTTTACTCTTTAGAGTGGATTCCATTGCAAAGAATTTAGACAAAAAAATCAAAATAATATATTGACTGAATCGTGACAAAAAAATGACATAAATTTGATAATAATCGATCAATATGACATTAGACATATTTTGACTTTCTTATTTTCCTTCTTGAATAAAAATAAGAGTCGCAATATACAACGTACCATTTCCACCATAGCTGCATCTGGTCCATAGACCGAATCTGCCGGGATTCTCATGCTCCAGATCGCCGAGCCATTCCGGGGTGACAAACGCAACGACGCCGATAATGGCATAGCATATAGTGAAGATACCCCACAGCACGCCGATCGCTTTGGAATTGCGAATGTAATTAGTCGCATACATGTGCGAGGACTCGACGTACTCGATCTTTGAACCCATTTTGACAATCGTCAATTTCTCGTCAATGCAAACCGAATGTCCCAACTACCGGCACGTCGTTTAATAGCGATTCTTCCTCGCGTAATCGTTCGACCATAACATCAACTCCGGGAATTCCATACGTGGAACGGAGAAGTGACTGTGGAATTATAAACCGTTGATTAAATCACGGAAGAGACCGAGAGATTCCTCGCACTGACTTGCGCGTTTATCACACTCGCGGTAGAAGGTCGTCGTTCTTGGAACGTCGTTCTCCACGAAGTCCAATTGTTCGACAACAATGGGATCGCCTTGTGACAAGACACGCGCGTTCGTTCGGAGGTAATATCGCACGAACAAAGAATATTCACGTACTTTCGCTAGCAACACACAACAACGAGAATTTTGCGATTAAGTTCTCCCTCCGTAGATGATTTTCTCCAGAATCGGGTAGGAGCTTGTCTTTCTTTTTTGTTTCACAATAATAAATATGGATCTTCTATTCACTTCTCAGCATATTTCTTCATTATCAGTTCTGTTAGCAAAAAGATCGCACGTATCCGCGTTAAACCAATGGCTACGCCGTTCGTGACATTTATGATCTCGAGCGTTCACCAATGTTAGGTCAGCATCAATAGATACCTTTCTTTCGCTCGAGTGACGTGTCTTGGAACGAAGGACGTGGAATAAACTGTTGACAAAATAAGGTCTTTTAATTCTGTTGAAATTTACTATACGATCATAATTTTTGGATCAATATTAAAAAGTTTTAAAAAATAAAAAATTTTCATAGAAAAAAATCTTATATTTCAGATGAAGTCATCAAATATCAGTGAGAAAAAGAATAAAATATTAGTAAGAAAATAAATTACATTTTGAGTCAAGACTCATGTAATATTTACTTATTTCAATCTTGAATAAATTAACATAAGTTTAAATAAAATTTTAAATATTTTTTTTTATTAATATTAACTAGAGACGACAATTATAGTTTTATTTTGTGGGCCATATCTGAACGCGCAAATTTTAAGTGATATTATTCGCCATCTTTAAATGTTTGTAATTTAAATATTATTATTATATTCATAAAACAAGTGTTTAATTTTAAGATATATTAAAATGTTTTGTTTTTGTCTCCGTTTTTTAAACATTTAAAGATGTTTTTAAATTTTTTCAATAAACAAAACTATATTCGTATTTAAAACATTAAAATATTTAAAATTGAGATCTTTTAAACATTTTAAATACTGAACTCTTTGCATTATATAATCTCAATATTTTAGTATTAGAATTTTTGTATTAAAATGATCTTAGAAATAGTGTTGTTACGATTTTTATGGAACACCCTGTATATGTATGCATGTATGTACATGTATTCAAAATCTAATCTGTTATCTCTAGACTAAAAAATAATTGCGACTATTGTTCACTAATAATGGTCAAATATAGAACATTTGGCTGCGCGTGTGAATTTTTGCCTGGCAGAAAAACCAACTTACCGTAACGAAGACGACACTTCCTTGAGAATCTTGGATAAGTTCTAAAGTATACACTAATGACGTCAGCAATATCAGGACCTTATCGGAATATGCGAAGGGAAAGAAAGCAAGCCAGGTGGAAGCCAGGCACGATTATAAAGTGACAAAATGTTACCGGCGCGATCACTGGTGCCTTGCTGCACGTCGCGAGGTTTTGCACATGCAGCTTACGGCACATGCGACGAACGGCCGGCTACAAGGATGAGCGAAAAATGTGACTTGGTGGAAAGACGAGGAACGCGATACGACGGCGCGCTTCAAGATGGCCGTTCAGGTGAGCCAGGTTGCCAGGTGAAGGTGTGAGGAAGGGAAATAGAGAGAAAGAAAGACAGAGAAAGAGTGAGACTCCGGAGAGAGGAGACTGTCGTAAGGGGTCCCCTCATGGACTCCAAGCGTAAAGAGAAAGGTGACACCAAAAAGGTTGCACGCTGCTGTGTATTGCTTTGTTGGATTTCTCCGTCTGAACATAACGGGTTCATTCGTTGGACTTACAAATCTGAAGAACTATTTTCTCTAAGTTAAAATAAATATATATATATATGTGTTATATTTAATATTTTGTTAATCAATCATAATATA